TTCTCCAGATGTTGAGGTCTTCATAATCCAGTCGACCACCAGAAGAAAGAGGAAGGGAGAGAGTAAACAGCCTTGTCTGACTCCGGTCCTTACTTGGAATGCATCTGTCAGCTGTCCTCCATGCACTACTTTGCACTGTAGTCCGTCGTATGAGTTCCGGATAATGTTGACAATGTTCTCAGGAACTCTGTAGTGTCGAAGAAGTTTCCATAATGTCCTCCTATCTACACTGTCGAATGCCTTTTCATAATCAATGAAGTTGATGTATAATGATGAGTTCCACTCAACTGATTGTTCGACGATGATCCGTAGTGTTGGAATTTGGTCTGTGCACGACCGATCCTTACGGAATCCAGCTTGTTGATCTCGAAGTTGGGCGTCTGCTGCATCCTTCATCCGGTTCAGCAACAATCTGTTGAAGACCTTCCCTGTTGTTGACAGTAGTGTGATGCCTCTCTAGTTTTCACATTTGCTCAGATCTCCTTTCTTTGGAATCTTGACGAGGTGTCCTACTTTCCAGTCCATCGGCACTTGTTCCTCCTCCCAAATCTTTTTGAATAGAAGATAAAGCATGCTTGTGGTTGCTTCGATGTCTGATTTCAGTGCTTCGGCTGGTATGTTGTCGGGTCCTGCTGCTTTCCCGTTCTTGATTTGTCTGACGGTCATTCTAATTTCTTCCGTAGTTGGTGGATTGACATCTATAGGAAGATCTGTGTGTGCTGCTTCGATGTCCGGTGGATTCATTGGAGCCGGCCTATTCAGGAGTTCCTCGAAGTATTCTACCCATCTGTTACGCTGTTGTTGAATTTTGGTGATTGGCTTGCCTTCTTTGTCTTTGACCGGCCTCTCTGGTTTACTGTAATTCCCTGCTAGTTTCTTCGTTGTATCGTGAAGTTGTTTCATATTTCCTTCTCTAGCAGCTTTTTCTGCCGTCGTTGTTAGTTCTTCCACGTATTTCTTCTTGTCGGCTCTAATGCTCCTTTTCACTTGTTTGTTTGCTTCTATGTATTCAGCTTGTGCTTGGACTTTCTCTGCTCGTGTTCGGCTGTTGTTTATTGCTGCCTTCTTGTTCTTCCTTTCTTTGATCTTGTCCAGTGTTTCTGTAGAGATCCATTCCTTATGGGATGGGGACGCTAACCCCATGCCCAACCCTCCTCCTTTACCCGGGCTTGGGACCGGCAGCAACCCTATAAGAGCTACAGGCGGAGTTTTCAATTTCTGATGTTTTATACAAATTCAGCCCCTCGAGATTATTCTTTCATTAATATAATGTTATAGATAGGTATGTTGAATGTTATCTAGAGGTTTGTTTGAAATCCATAAACAACCAAGTGATTCTGTATTTTGATGATTACTCAATGTACCCTGCTTTTAAGGATTTGTGATGCACTGAATAACATTTGAAGCTGTTGCTCAACTTAGAACAGTACATATGGGGTTGATTTGAATAAATAGATACTGGGATGGATGAAGCACAAAAAGGTGATTTAAATTAATGTTCTATGATAATTTCCCTACTTTCAAAGATTTTTATCACATTTGTCATTATTCTTGTTGTCGATTCCCTACTAGACAAACGTGTGAATCGTGGAGTGTGCAACAACTTGCAAACAAATTGAACTCTTCGCATATTCCTTTTCGCTGCATCGATGATCCTTTGTAAGTTGACAATTAACTGTAGAAAACCAGAAAATAACATTTAACCTTTTTGTCGGCTTTCAAAGCATCAAACAATACTATTGGGTAGATTTTTGTATTTTACAACGTCTAAAATAATCGTTTATGTTTGAAACATTGAACACCTAACATTAAAATTTTGATTTAAGGAGAACTAGTTTTATCGCATACCTTAAGTTGAGGATTGTATTTTCTAAATCAGTATGACCAACCCTGTGATTTGTCATTAAAAGTGTTGGAATACTGTTAAATAGGCATTACATTGCTATTTAAACCATATTTTTTCATCACAATTTTCATTTATATTGTGCTTTTTATTTTCAGGGAGTTCAGACATTATCAATGCATCAAAACACCTTACAAGCAACGATGTCAGTTTTCAGCTTCGACGAGGTCAAGCGTCGTAGAGACATTACTAACACTTTTATCACTAGTCATTTGTTTAACTTTATATACTTGCATGAGTTGAAATAACTTCTCAGGAGTAAACTTTGAACAGCGGAAAAGAAAGTAAATACAACTCAGGAACAAAAAATTTTCTTTTCGACTACAGTGCTGTACTGTCGTATTTATTGTTATCAGACAAATGTGGTATATTGAAAACTGAAATGAACAACCACAAGTTATTTGGAAAATTCAAGTATCACAGACAGGCTGATTAATGATCTGATGGTTAAAGCAAACAGGTAGGATCAGATGTACGATTGATAATTATACATCCGATAGATATAGAGAAGTAATAAAACACTTCGCATAATAGTCATGTGAAGTCGGAAAAGGGGAATAACAAAGCTAGCGAAAGATTCTGTCGACTAGGTCTAACACTAAAATGATAACGCTCTGAGTTTCCTCGTGATGATAAAGGAATAAAACACTAACGAGTAACATCTTTTCATACAGTGTTAAATCAAGAGTCCACCAGGAAGCTTTATTGATTTTATGCTTCGATCAAATATGAGAAATTAACCAGGTCCGATTAACGGCATGCCAATCAAATGAAGCTGAAAGTATGTAAAGCGTTCTCAACGAATTAGTGAACAGACAAAAATGTCCAACGTCTTCGTCTGTCGAAAGCTAATGGGGTATACAAATGTATTATCAATAAAGCTGCTGCACTAGCCTCCCACTAGAACGTAGATACAACAAATAATGTCTCTGTTCGGGAGTAACTATAAAAAGACATCATGTGGAAACAGAAAGTAACAAGGATCAAAACATATTCTAGTTTAGGAGAGGCATAACAACACTAGGTTACTTGTAAAGTCGTGGTGACAAGTGATACTAATAAACCTAACATTTATGCGAGTATTAAAAACGAACGTTTGTTGTGCACGAAGTCAGAATCATCCAGAATATTGTAAATGTAATAGGTAAGGTACTACGATTCAGTATATGACCCGTAACTTTGTAACGATAAATAAATCTCCAAACTAAATAGCTCTGTGAGTCTTCGACATTCGATGCTGGCTACATTAGTTCTAATGGACTCACCTAGCTGAAGGCGCTCGGTCATGCATCTGCACTAGATCACGAGTGTGAACACCGTGCTCAAAATCCCCTGTAATTGCTAGCCAGCCTAGATCAGTCGATCCTCGATATATTGATAACCTATCAAATATATCTTCGAACCTCCTCGCTTCTGTCTTTTGATTTCACTTGGTGGAGACGATTCAAAGTAGATGTTACTGGTTAAGGCGTTGTCAAACCACTTGATTCCTAAACTCTCTTCATTGAAATTTTCCAAAATTTGGTGTACTATTGAGCTCACTCGCTTTATTGTGTAGGTGATTTGAAGGATGGTTCTAGTGAAACAGTGGCTGTTCTAGAATTGAACTACTTATTGATTAACACCCTATATTTCAAACGCAGTCAAGCTTAGAATCCGATCTACGCATGTCATGTTTTGTGATTAACTCTATGTGTACAGATCATTGTGACATGCAATTTGTTGCATAAACCCCTTTATTCCGTCTTTGACCGTCTATTCTGGTTTTGGCAATCAGTGAGAACTGACTACATTATCTCCTATTCTCAGTTTTCCACGTGAATTTTTCAACCACGGTAAAAGGAAACTAGAATCCAATACATAAGTGTTCAATAAAGTCCATAATGCTTCGTATCATATTGCTCCTCACTTTGCAGCACAGTGGTCTCGAGTGGTAAGGAAATTAAACTCCGGTTCGGCAGTGTGCTTGTCATCCAACCAGAATGAAGCAGGAATTGTCATTTGCGTCATCGTTGCAAGCATTGGCGGTTGGATCGCCTTGTTCTCTTTTCTGGCTGCAATATTTTATCTTCCAGTGTGCTGAAATTCCGTTATTTATTTGATGTCAATGTTGACGATGAGGTTTTTGAATCGGTTCCGTTTCCTCAGTTGCCAGTAGTTAAACAGATTTCGGATGTTGATTCGTAGCCAGTTGCATTTAGTTATTACTTAGAATATTCCTCTTCTAGGGCTATCTAATCTCATACTGATCGTTTTATTATTTCAACGCCTAAGCACACTAACGTAAATTAAAATTTAAGCAACTCTGGTTACTGAACACATGTGTTTCATTACTTCCTTAAAGTCTGATTATTATGTTGATTGAAATGAATTATATGACAACAGGTTTATCATCAAATTAAAGAGGTACCATAATTGCTATTCTTCTTGAGCAGTTATGTTATTAAAATAGGTGACTATAGACGACTAGGCCTATAAACACAACAAACAAACTATAAGCTAATAAGACTTACCTAGAAGACAAAGTATATTATTTCAAGACTGAAGATCACAGCTATTTATGTATCAGAACATGGCTTATAGCACAGCTACTAGAACCGTTCTCCGTTATTTACTGACGGTTTGCTACGAAACAACCACGACTATTATTAAGCTTTCCATAGCTTAGGCCATCATCTCAGCATGTAATGCACGTGTCTGGTGTAACTCAATTTGACGTAATGAATAAAAGTTACACTCACAGCTCTTTGTATGCGGGCTAGAGGACTGAGATATGGTTCCCCAACTAAGTACTATGTATTCGCTTTCAACAACTAAGAATTTCCGGTTGATAACGTTCTAAAGAGTAGTCATATTATGACATGGTCCTCACTATCTGATGAACGCCAATGTAAAGAGATCTAAGGGCATCGCATAACGTAACAGACAATTTCCTTTTATGGAAGACGCGTATCAACAGTCGTCCGGGAAGTATGTAGCTCATCTATGTAACCAAAACAATATTGAAAGGCGCAGGACAGTGAACCTTTCTCACGAGTCTAAAACCAATTGCAAATATTAGAGATCGATGACAGAGATCACTCATTAACTTATCGATTACTAGTTCAAAGATATATAGTGATAGCAATTTATTTTCATATAACAATATGTTGTAGGATGGAAATAGATGGAAATGTTACAGACGTTATATGGTTTACCGTAATAAGTTAGGTTGATATATAATATAACATAGTAACAGGGGGGGTAAATTCACGTACATAAGAATATGAATAATGTTATGGTCGATCATAATATATAGCAAGTGCAAGTCATCCCCACAGGCATGATCAACAGGAAGGGATAGTGGAAATGTTTGATGGAATATCCATGCAGAATAATCAGCAAGATAGCAGGTTTGTGTTCACAGTTGAAATAATCTGTTTAAAAGTCGTGCATCGTACGATCTGTAACCTTGACGAACACACACCTGCTCCAAATTCTACCTTTGCACGTTGCATTCATGGCGCTGAAAAGAAGAGAGGAATATGAGGACTGATTAAACTCCCATAGTCATTTTCATATCATGGAGAAGACCTTTACGTTTTGTAATCTCTGAATAAGGTAATCTTGTAAGTACTTGAATTTTAGCCCACTGATATCCACAGACTGTGTTCCAAGTAGAGGTACTATAGTATTCTAATTATAGTATGAATTAGGAATTCCAGGATTAACGCAATTGAACTAAGAAGACACAGACACAACGAATGTACTGTATTTAGAATTCGAAATCAAACATTCAACCAGTACCAAGGTATCATTAGTCCATTCAAACACCACATCCGCCACAGCTTAAATAGAAGTATAAGTGTTTGTAATCGGTTGTACGTCTTCTTGTTAAGTTCATTCTGAGTCTGTCCGACATTGTGTAAGATAAAAACTCTGTAGTATCTGGAATTGTATACAACCAGCATGTCGGTTTTGTAATGAAATCATTAATATCTAGAATTCGAACCATAGGTTTTTCAACACTATCCTCCCCCACGAAATAATGTTGGATCTTTATATCCCCAGGTTATGAATAATGTGGCTTCATTTAAAACATATTTCTCACAATGTTTAGAGTAAACATTAGAACTGTTTTTGTGATAAGGGTAAACAGCAGTTGATATGAAATCATCCGAAATGTAATCAAACTTGAGGTCACTTAGTACTCGTGCTTCGCATTGAGCAGGTTTTTCACAAGGATCGAATGCATTATGAGGATAGGTAATATATGATACGACATCAGGATTTGATTCTTCTGAAATATTCTCATGAAATTCATTAGGACTGTCATTGCAGAGCGTAGGATCGTTAGAAAAACCAGCATCTATCCTAACCACATCAGGTTTTCGATCATGATTACGTTCATTTAACATATTTTCCTCAGAATTGCAAGTGATTTCATTAAAAATATGTGAATCATTAGGAAAAGTCATACCTGGTACAATAGCATGAGAATTCTGATAAATCGGTTGATTAGGAACTGTTGCCTCACAAGAATTCTGGATTTCATATAACTCTGAACTGTCATATGACTCTGCACTGTCTTTTGAAATCGTTGATAAAGATAAATGATCATTAGAAACAGCCGAATTATTGAAATTTAAATTACAAGATTTAGTACAGCTTGAAGCAAAATGGACAGTAGCTTTGCATACTGAATGAATGTGTCCTACCTTACCACATTTAAAACATTTAGCATTACGAAATACACATGAATTGCGAGCATGAAACTTTCCACATGATAAACATTTACCAAACTTCATCTCACCTTTGTGATTTGCTTTGTAATTCCTTGTTGAAACACCTTTCATATTTACACGAGAATAGGAATCACTGTTAAATGAACGCAAATTTGATTGACCCTGAGATTGTAGTTCATCATGACGACTAAGCAAAGTAACAGAAATCTTCATCGACTGGATATCAAGTTCATTCACTGCTTCGTAGTTAATACACGCAGTCCTAGCATCTTGAAAGGAACAGTTTGGCATTTTTAACAGCTCTCTTTCCAAACTCGGCATATTAATTCCTGCAATTAATCGATCTCTCAGTTGCACATGAAGTTGATCACCGAAATTACACTTGGCGGCTTGTTTCTGTAATTCAAGGATGAATTCCCGAGCCTTTTGGTCATTTTGACGAATCATCTTATGAAACTTTGCCCTTTCACGGCATTCAAAACGGGTGCATTTTACATGACTTAATAATAGCTCTTTAAGAGTTTCATAAGGGAGTGAGATAGGTTTTTCTGGATATGCCAGAGTTTTTAATAAGCTGTACGCTTCTCTCCCAATGAATGTGAGAAAGTGTGCCACAATATTAACATCCTCATCATCTTCTTTTGTCATGCTCCAAATTTCGAACCTTTCCAAATAATCCTCAATATCTTCAGGAGTTGAATGAATATCCAACTTTTCCATTGCAGGTTCCATCACGACGCCAATATAGTATTCTAATTATAGTATGAATTAGGAATTCCAGGATTAACGCAATTGAACTAAGAAGACACAGACACAACGAATGTACTGTATTTAGAATTCGAAATCAAACATTCAACCAGTACCAAGGTATCATTAGTCCATTCAAACACCACAGGTACTTGTGATTATCTTTCCTGAATATCTAAATCAGAAACACCCGTATAGACGAACCATTTATTCATGACAGAGAATTTTGAACTGTTTTAAGTTATCACTAGCTCAGTATCACATATATTCACAGTAGGAATCACTGTTAAGAATAGGCATAACAGTGTTACATAATTTGATCAATTAGAACCCAACACTGCCCCTTTTCTGGATTCATTTAATAGAAAGTGACAGACGTTCATCCTAGGAACACTATCAGGATGATTTGAGAGTCGAAAACCTCATAGTGTCATCATGTCGAGTTACAATATTTGTCCGCAGACAAAGACATTCTTGGCGTTGCCTTAATTAATAGCTCACCACGAACTATGTAATCAGTTGATGATTGACCTAGCGCCTTAATTTAGGGATATGTCCAATGAGACTAATGAGGTCAGTATCAATATCGAAGGCTAACAAAACTTAGTTTCGCTTCATCTCACTCCTCTTCAGATAGGTAGTGAAACCTCTAAGACATGACCAGCAAGAAGCTTGAAGTCAACGAGCATGCTATTGCTTAACACTTCTGATGGTTGGCCAGAAGGGCCTAATCGTCTTCACTTACTTTGAGGAGTGACAGGAGATGAGCGAAATACATTATTAAATCGTGTTTAGAACGTTGAATTGGTTTCACTTCCTACCCAGATATCCTATTACAAGCAACCTGAACAATTCGCTAAAAAAGAAGCCTACTCAATACCCCATAAAGTCTAAAAGAGGCTCTAACAGCTTCGACAAAAAAGACAGCCATTTGTGTATCATAATACTGTTATTGGCACTATATTTTACAACTACACATAATCCCATACTCTCAGCTGCTTTCTGAACCACCTCCACTTGTCAGTTGTTTATCCACTCATACATTGTTCAATTTTCTTTAAATTAGCATAGTTAATACTCTAATAAAAGAAAATTATACTGAGTAGTCATACCTCGCCCAAGCAACCAATAAAGGAGAAATAAAGCGGACGATAGCGTAAATAAAAGGGGAATGTCGTTTTCTCGACTTTACGTCGGTTATTTAGGGGAAATGTCGCTTTTTCCTCCTTACGTCGTGTATTTGGGGGAAATTTGTAAACAATTAGACGTTACATACAGTGTTTGAAGAAAACGCATCCACAACTCAATTTCCATAAACTTAGACAAATTAAGGCACCGCTTATTAAAAAATCTATTGTCATAAAAGAAAGTTACAAAGTACAGAACCAGGCATTCGGTTTAGACGCAAATACACTAACTTCGTTTTTTGTTTAGCTAAAGTGTCCCGACATGCTTGAGATCCATCACAAAAAACTTACGTGATGCAGGTGAGTGACGTGCTCTTAGATTTTCATGTTGATTATAACTGATTACGTTGTTAGTCCAATACTATGAGTTGCATTGCAGTCAGTGAGAATGTTCGTAGACGCAGGGCCACTGTGAACTTGTCAAGTTCCCTTGGTTGTCATGGAACCACTTATGAAAGGAGGTGGAATAAAATGCGAGCAGCTTTCATGGACAGATATGACTTCCTTTCGTTCAGTGAGTTTGTTAATGAAAGCACCATAAAAGGTAACTGAGTTCAACAGTGTTGTAACACCGAACAGCCAATATTCGGTTGGAACAACGGACTGACGAACCCAAAATTTATTCGATTAGACCAGACCAAGTTCCTCTGTATAGCTCACAACGCGTCTTTGAGATACTCGTATTATATTATATCAAAACACAAACTCTGTGCTCAATATAAACGTTTCTCAAACGGTGCAGCCAGTCCTACACAGTCAGAAGTTTCTCTGACGCAAAGTAGCGCGCTGAGAATCAATACAAATGTTCCCAATAAGATGGGATCAAATATCTATCTGCAGGGATTGCAGCAATTCTCCTAAGCAGACAGTCAGAAGGTTAACAGTCACAAACTGAACCACGCCGTGACCTTGAGCTTAGTCAAACACGACCTTACTGTCAATGGTCAGGCGACATGCAATAGAAAATTAGGTAACAAAAGTAAGTCTTTAATCAAAATCACATAATAAAGGCTCAAATGGGGAAAACTGAAGAACAAAAGACATGGTTAAACGAGATCGAAACAAAGGTTGGAATGCACAGAAGGGGGAAGGAACAAATAAATGGAAATACTGTTCAACAAAGAAGCTGCGGAGAGATTTTCACTGTTTTCTTTCCGTTGCAAGTGTTGTTCGTTAAATTGATCGAAGTAAAGGGAGAAATCAGTTGTAACGACAGTACTTCAACTGTTACACCATCTACTAGCAACACCAATCAAAGGCTTTCAGATAATAGTGGTATGTACATCAAATTCATACGTGAATATATTTCCGATAGGATGTACTGTAGTAAACTTGTGCTCTCAGAAGTTCGTAAATCGTAAAGAACTGATGAACGACTTTATAAAGTATATAATGTCAAATACATCTCTGAGCATACAAGATGCTGATCGGGTTCTGTATGGCCTACGATTTCTTATCCCGGACATACCGAAAGGCATCAGAGTTGTTCTGAAGACTTGTTCAGGTGTTCAACCAAATTTCATCGGCAGTGGGGATGATATCTACCTACAAAGGTGCGACCAACCAGATGACAATTGGGCAGTTCTGAAATGTAAAATCACTAACGAATTCGGTAACAAACATAGAAACTTTGATTCACTATAGATTCTCTGCAGTCGGCGAAAGATGTTTTACTTGCAATGCAAATACTGGAATCTCACCATAGAAACACTTCTACGGATGAGAACACATTGCCACAAAACAATGAGAAGCCCAAGAGGTCAGTACAACAATCTTATTAACAATCCCTAGAAGTGCAATGAAGCGTAAAGAAGATTTTCTTTACAATTCAGTCGACATGGATGTGGCTGAGATGCAGGCTGGGAATAGCCACGTACAATACCCGAAATTCCGGTTGTTCGACAAATTCGTATCGCCAAGTAGGTTTTATTATTATCTAGATATTCACGAATCAGTTCGACACAAATACAGTCATCACCATCCACATCGGAATCTAAGCATGTCGGTGGTGCTATAGCCGATCATTAAGTCACCTGCATCATCTAGTGAACTTTTTCAGCTTTGATAGGTTGTACAAGATTTTGCAGAACATATCCTCGGCCATTACTGACCTGAGTAGTAATGTTAAGCAGTTACTGTCTAAGTCTAACGAACGCGAACAACCGCATCAGTTCGATTGCGGGCTCTCCAGCCAGCAGTTCCTTTTGTCATCTGAAGAGAAACTGCAGATGCTGGAGACTGGTTTGCAGAAGAAAGAAACCAGAGACCGATTTGTAAGTCGTCAACATTAATTTAATAATTTGTCCCGATTAAAGATGGCAGTGGTTACCAGGTTATCAAGTGATGACCCGAAAACCTCAATCAGGTATGTTCTGTCGTACCTCTTAACACCTGAGGCTGCCAGTAACTTCACGTTACTTGGAACTTCTTCTAAACGACCACTTCTAAAATGACGGTTTTACGGCTGCATAAGAAATAACTCATATTTAATATTTAAACTTCAAGTGCGTTAACAAATCGCTTTTTATCATCCTCTGTCAACGAAAAAGATCTTCAGAAGCTGTACGACATAGCCACACAAGGTTTTTTCACGACGTCAGAGACAAAGTAATAAAGCATAAAAGAAGGAAAGAAGGGCAGGTATGTACTAATTTAAAGTGATAACATTCCTTACGGCTCTATAGTTACAGTCATCAGTGTTAACGGACATAACCGTAAGTTTAGCTTAAAGTATTTGGCTGTGCCAAGACATGTCATTCAGATACTGTTGTGACTTTTCCTGTTTTTTAAACTTATTAATTCACAGGACGACTTTCAATTCTCAATAGGCGAACGAATGTGGCTGAAGGGGATAATCCATGCAATTTTTTTAATGTTCTACCTACCTTTTAATAAACATTATTTTGTCAAAGAGCTTACTTTATTACTTACTTGGGAAACTATAGAAGTGTTGAGAATGTGTGTTTCAGTGTCAGTTAACTTTAGATTAGATGCAAATGCCTTATGAATAATACATCACCTGTTTCATCTTTTGTAGATCTTTTCAAATAACAATGAATTGGCAATTACAATGGATATACAAAGCGATTGATGCTCAAGCGTCCGCTCTAATGTTGTACAATAATGCGATTTTCCTCTTAAATAAAAATTTTTAAAAATACACCGGTTTTCCAGTGCATTGCAATTTTATTTCGGTCTGTTGTTAAAAATAAAGGCGAACATAGGAGACCTTTATGGTTTAAGTCAGTGGATCGAAAATTGGGAGTTCTGTGTGTATTTAGGCGCAAAGTAGACAATTAAGCGTATCAGTAGGCGATTCCGCGGAAATTTAGGCGAAAAGTAGACAATTCAGCGGATATTCAGGCGAAAATTCCACAATTCGGCGGATATTTGGGCGAAAAGTTGGCAATTTATCGACAAAGCGGCAAAAAAAGGGGGAAATCAGCAGTATTTCCACCGGACAGGCGAAAAAGGCGATATTCTGATGCGTTTTCCCCTTTATTTTCCTCTTCTCTTCTAAAGCATTTACCCCTTTATTTCCTCTTTGTTCGCCTTTATTTCCAATTTTTGGTTGTTTGAGTCAACTATTCCTTTCTTTTGCTTGCTTCCTTTTTCAGCCCTCTTAAGATATGGAACAGGTGACTTCATCCTGCACCATCCTTAAAGCCTCAGATATTCCAAAGGGATATAAGGTTGTGATTTCTAGAAGCTCCCAACTTCAATGGATCCACCCTCGACCATCAGCTGCACGTCGCAACGCCATTTTCATGAAGCGCGCCAACTGTTATACTGACTACAACCATTTACATTTCATATCTTGCAAATTATCAACCCAGGTGAATAATTTACTACAGTGGATATTCTACCATTTGTAAAA